AATTTGTTATGGGGTACAATTAAATCAAACTATGTTTATAGCATTTACTTTGAATTAATAATTTGCTATTATATACAATTTTCCCTATATTTTAGTGGGTTGAGTCATTAAAATAGTTTAAATAGATTTTTTTAATTTTAAATAAAAATTAAATACTATTAAAAATTCTAATATTTTAAAAATAATTAAATAAATTGAGTCACTTTATAAGTAACATTTCTAAAATTTTAAAAATAATTAATTAAATTGAGTGACTTTATAAGTAACATTTCTAAGTGATTTTTGATATAAAAATAAAAGATAAAGTAATTTTTACGAGGGAAAAGCTTATTGGCCATTTGTTGCTTTAAATGTGTTGATGTAACAATTCCTTTACACTTCAATGTCTAAAAGTTGAGCATTTTTTTTCCTTTTTATCAAATTAATACCTCAAAAATCCCTTATAGTATCCAAGTTTTATCAATTTAACAACTAAACTATAACATTTCTTATTTAAAACCTCTTACAGTGCCAAGTAACATAAGAGTGACCTTACTTTTTTTTAATTATTATTATAGCGAAAAAATAGGTCAAAAAAAGAAGCATTTACCAGGCATTTTACATTTGTTTTAGAATGATTTTTTTTTCCTTTGGTAGACTCAATTAAAAAAGACACAATCCATAACATGCACAACATTTATTTTAAGTATGTTTTAATAGTCAAACTTTTCAATTAGGTTTGTTATTCAAACTTTTCAATTAGGTTTGTTATTCAAACCTTTCAATTAGGTTTGTTATTATTGAGTAGATTTTTTTCCAGCTCGCAATTAGGTTTACTGTTACGAGTTTACAATTGAATTTATATACATATAAAACATTATTGGATTTTGAAGAAGAAGAAAAAGAAATAAATAAATATAGTTAAGCTAAGAAGTAAGAACAAATAAGAAACAAAATTTTGCTTTAATGTACAATTTTTTTTTGTTAATTTCTTATTATTACTATTATTTTAGAGTAATCCTTTTTTTTTAAAATTGAATGCACTGTTGTGATAAAATTTGCTCATGACTTTCTAACTAAATTTATCTTTTTGATTATTTTATTTTTATATTACTATAATTTTAAGGTTATGAATTCCAATTAGTTGTTATTAGAAAAGATTTGGATATTTGAAGAATAACAAATGAACAAGAAAAAACAGAAATAAGAAAATAATGTAAAGTGGCACATATGTTTTCATTTTTTTGTTTTTTTGTCTATTTTCTAGCTCCACATTCTACAAAGAGAGTGAAGCCATTCTCCAAGTCACATGCATTTTAGAGAGGTTAGGCTTTAAATAAAAAATGTTACAGTTCAAAAGGTAACATTTTACAACAACATTCCATAATTTAAGTATTAAACTGAAAAAAACATGATAATTTAGAGGAGTTTTATATATATTAAAATGCTTTGAAATAAATAATCCTAAAGTTTTGGAGAGGGAAGCATAATACAAGAAGGAAAAATCTTAATCTAATGCGAAAAGACAACTTTCTGTAGATTTCACTTTTGTTGATTAGGACCAATAAGTTTAAAAGTAGAAAAGATTGTCACTTGTCTGAAAGGAAAGTGAGGAAAAAGAGAAAATAAAATGTGATCTTTAACTACCATGCTTCATGTTTTGGAATCCAATTAATGCAAATTAATGATTTCTAGCCTTTAATTTAATAAAACTCCTATTAGGTGTTAAGTTGTTATGACTCTCGTGAGTTTGTTCCTTTCATCTAGTCTAAAAGTTGCATATTCATGTGGCTACTTTTTGCTTCATGTCTTTTCCTCTTAACTGGCCCAAATGGCAAATCATGTACATTCTTTTTCTAATTAAAGTTTGATACTAAAAATAAAATTTATAAAAATATATTTATTTTTTCATTAAGTTGTATAATTAATTTAGTAGGATGGTGACTTAAAATTTTATTTTTTAGAGGTCAATTGGAAAACATATAAGAAATTGTATTATTTTTTATTGAGCCATTTTCATTTACTATCTTGAATATTTTAGTATTTTAAAGAAATTATTTTAATAAATAATACTCTATCACTCTTATTACATGTGAAAAGTTAAAATTAAGTTTGAACCCACATAAAATCACATATACCCGCAACCCGCATTAATTTTAAAGAAACTCACTTCAATCCGCCTCGCATAGCCTTAAATCCCCCCCCCCCCCTGCCATCCCTAAAAGCATGGGCATTAAAAGTTAGATTGTTGTCTACGAGACTACGAGTGGTGTTCAACTTAAATGATTGATGAAAAAAACTAGATAATTAGATATACTTCAATATCATACATACTATTATTATCTATACTTTCAAATTATTGCAAATTTTATTACTAATAAAGAGTTTTCTACATATCTCACACTTAGATATATGCATTTTGCTACCAGATACACAAAAATAGAGAGAAACGCGAGTGAGATTCGCATGTATCTCAGATACATGTGAATCACACTAGATATACACTAGATACACATATTTGTATGAATTTAGAGTGATTCGTATGTATCTGAGATACCAATCACATGAACGAACCCACGTAGTATGTTACGAGTGCTCCCATTGATTTTGACTAGAACTATATATATATATTTAAGTAGAAAAACACCAAATTTATTAAGTATATAAATAACAGTGAGCACCCATAGAACAAAAAAGCTTGATGGGTGCTTTGGTTTAGAGGATAAAACTAAGGCTCTTTTAACTCAAGTTTTAGGAAGGTGGGTGAGATCAATCCTCCGTCTTAAGAAAAATTTAGAAATAACAAACATAATAGATATAATATGGCTTTATATCTATAGTTTGGATAATTGCGCTCTATAATTATAGTTTTGTTTGCTATGAAATTGCGGTTTGTATATTTCTACCCGTTTGTATATTTCCCTTGAGAATATACAAATAGGGTAAGTATATATAAATTCTGAATACATTTAGGAAATTTTTAGAACTTCATTTGTATATTTCGCTTGTCAATATACAAACATGGTAATTTATTATGATTTTTTCATAAATCGTATACAAATAGCTAGGCAAGCATATACAAAATTCTAGATGTATACGATCATGATACAATTATACAAATTCTGAATTTATACAAATTAAGAGAATTATACAAATCAGGCAAATAACAAAAATTGCGAAAACTATAGCCGTGAATTACAATCTTCTTAAACTATAGCTATAGTACCTAATATAGGCTAAATTATATTAGCGCTCTATAGCTATAGTTTTGTTATTTGCGCTCCATAGCCAAATTATGTTTGCTATGGAGCATATGATTTGTATATCGCGGCGATTTGTATAAATCGAGCGCTAATTCGTCTGTGTCTATGAAAATTGCGTTTGGATATGTATATGTTCTCTGTGTTAGGCTAGAGTGGCGAGTGTGATTGGGAAAGAGAGGAGAGAAACGAGCGAGAGAGGGCAAAGAATGGAGAGATGAATTGTATATGTATATCGGTTAGATAATTGTATATATGTAACTGCTATATATGTATATGTATCAATAATTGTGTTTGTATATCTGCATAAAATTTGTATTCATATACAATTGAATCGAGTTAAAACATTTGTATTTGTATATCAAAGATCTCTCTTCTTTATACAAACACAAATTATATATTATATTTGTATAATTTGTGTTTGCATAAAGTGAGAGAGAGAAAATTTCAAAAGAGAACTGGACAGGGGAAGATTTGTCTGATCATAAGTGTATAGAACGGAGAAATATGTATTTGTATTTGTCTATACAGTCTCTCTCGCTTTATACAAACACAAACACAAATTATACATTTGTGTTTGTATAAAGTGAGAGAGGCGAGGGAGAGATGACTGAAAAAGAGGTTAGTGGCGAGCGAGATTCCAGAGAGAGGGGAGAGAGGCGAATGACAAGAAGTTCGATGCGAACTGGAATTAAATGAAACTGTAGCTATATCATTTATTTTGAATTAATAGTTTGCTATAATGCACAATTTTCCCAATGAATATTTACACCTAATTACCTAACTGATATAATATTTCAAATAAATAAATAAAAATACTTATCAATTTAGGAAAATTGGGTTCTCTTGATTTTAGGCTCATATTTTGAACTCTCTCTACCACCTAACTCTACCCTCCTTTTAACCACAAGAAGACTAAGATGTGGACATGGAGGTGATAAGGTGGCTAATCTATTTGCACATTTTCTTATACTTTATTTATGCTTTCTTAAGGATAATTTAATAGCCTTAAACTAACTAGATTTGATGAATTTCAAGTAAATGAGCTTAAAGAAGTGATCAACGAACACGATGAGCAAATTGGATGGAAAAATGATAAAGTCGGAAGCATAAAATTTGAAGAAAACTCATGAGAAGAAGGCAGGGAGTTCGGCTTCACGAAGACCTTTCATGCACAACGGCAAGTCTCAAAATAACTTAATGGGTTGTTATATGCTATTTTTGTGTTTGTTAAGATTTTTTCATACTTTGTTTTATTATTTTTTGGAGTATTCCGTGTCTAGTTTCCTATGATGAAGATTGCTAATTTCTTGGTCGTGTGTATCGATTTATGTTTGTAGATGAGTAAGATTGGTCGTATGAAAATGAGGTCTACTCTTTCTTCAAAGTTGATGACTATTTATAGTTATTAACTTGACAACAAATAAAAGGCTGGTAAGCGGTTGAATATCTATGTATCCTTGTAAATCCTGTTGTATACTAGTGTATCCATTTAGATATTACTGTATATCTAAAAAAGTTTGTGTATGATACACTGAATATACACATGTGATGTACGTATTATCTCAAACTAGTCACCTTATTATCTTCTGGAAAAAAGATCATCTTTCTGTTACAAACACCAATCCCCGATGTTACCAATTGGCCTTTGAACAATGGGATCGATCACATATGTATAGGTTCACTGTTCAAATCAATTTGGATTAATCTTAATATGGGCTATTGAAAATATCACATGAGGAAAATTACATGCAATTTTCAAAGCAGTGTGATAGAATAGGGCAATAAATAAACTCTTGAACATAAATTACTAGATAAAGAGATAGACTCTCCCTTGGGGAGAAGTGGCAGGCAAAGTTAAAAAACAAAATATGAAGATCAATGAGTATTACATTGGCTGGGCTAAGGGCATCCTTGATGCAGCAATTACGAAAATGAATTTACAAAGAAAAGCTCTGAGCAGAAACAGTAAATTAGGATATCCTGAATCTCATCACTAGAAACTTTTACTAAGCACCTCTGCTCCCTAAACCATCCCCGCAACTAGTCATTCCATCTTCATATGAAAAGAATCCAACAAAATGGGGGTATTATGTATTCCATAAGTTAACTTGACTTCTTCCATGATACCAAGCACTTGAGGAATTCCATCACCTAAAACCACAGAAATGCAATCTCTTTAAAATCTTTATAGTAGTAAGAATCCAAGCAACTTCAATTATCTATACATACAATTGAAAAGAGACTTTCATAATACCTCAGATGGATCCCTCAGAGAGTAGAATGCATTGCTTTCTTTTGGAGCAGAAGAAACTAAGATTCCGTAACCTTTATTTCCCTCTCTCAACACCTGTTAACAAGCGCATTTGACAACTTAGTAAACATGGTTGATGATCCCACAAGGAAAAGCGGGTCTGTTAAACTTTACCTTAAATGCATCTTCATCTGTACGATCATCTCCTATGTAAATGGGAAGAACATCATCACAATTATTCAACCCTAAAAAAAGAAAAAAACCATGCACTTGCGTTAGTTTTTAACTGTTGGAACATCCTAAAACCTTCAGTAACTAGTTCCATAAAGCGGTCAAAGACATCACTCACCCAATGATTCAAGTAAGAACTCAACAGCTTTCCCTTTGTCCCAGTTAAGCACAGGCCTGACTTCTAAAACCTGAATAAGGTTGAGGAGAAGCTAGTTAGAGGAGTTAAAAATACCAAGGCAGTAACTTTCCTACTGCCCTGAAAAATGCACTGCAAAAGCAGGCTCAGATGTGTACCTTCCGGCCATGTGTCAATCGCAGACGGGGGTAGTGTTTTAACAATTCATCAACAGATTCTCCAATGGTTGACCAACTCTGTAATAATTTAAGCAAAGCACAATACAAGGGATGAGAATTTTCTGCCAGGTAAAGTTGCATAATCTATTTTTAAAAATCAGTGAGAAAAGTAAAGAGTCTTTTATTTTGACTTTAACCAAAAGTATCTACTCATACCTTCTCATCTACATTACGATAGTGTACTGAAACACAGAATTTGTTGTTCTCAACTTTTGCTCCGCTGATGTCTTTTGTGAGCTCAACAAGAGATCTAAGAACCTGTTTGAGTATATATTAAAAACACAGTTTTATACTGAGAAATGTCACAAATAGAAATAATAATCTTATAGCACAAAACTCTTATTTACCTCCTCGATCATTGGTAAGAACTCACTAGCAGGTTGGAAAAGATTAACTTCCTTGCCCTGTGTTCACAGAAGTTGATTGTTGTCAGTAGCTCATAAGACAAGATGGTTGGATGTCCCAATTTTTTCAATAAAGAACAGATTTAGCATCATTACCTGCTTGTCAGTAGATCTAATACAACTATAGTCATTAGAAATGGCTCGAACAGGGCTCATTATATCCATGCCGTGACTACCAGCGTAGTAAAGTTCAGATAGTCCGACAAAGTCATATACCTACACAAGAGAATATCCAACCAATAAAAGAAGAATCTTGTAAGCCTTAAACATAGTAATGATAATATTTACACATAAAAATGAAGTCTTGTTCAAACACACTAAAATGAAAACATTGGTAAGCACCTTATCACGACTTCTCCCACTAATAATTGCTGTGGGAAAATATTTAGCCACATTCCTCACAGCAGCACGCATCTGAAAAAGAGTGACTTAGTGTAAAAAAGGAATCCTACAAGTGTCGCACAAACTTTCTCCCATTAAAAAGTTAAAATACTCACAGCACTAGACATGAAAGCTCGATCTGGATCATCTACAATTGGTGATAAAGTCCCATCATAGTCCAGAAAAAGTGCTATTCTTTTGCCTTTTGCATAATTTATGATTTGCTCAAATGATGAAAGTGCCGAGGGATACTTGAGCTGCAAAAGCATAAAAAATATTACAACACTTCTCTTATATTCTTCCGCAAGTAGGATCCAGGCAAAATATTGACTAAATTAGATTACAAAGAACATAAAGAGCATTACCATCCATATGCGGTAAGCAAGATCATTTTCATTTGATGCTAGTTCAGCAGTGGAATCCTTACTTTTCTTTCTATGTGTAGGAGATGAAGATTTCATGGCATCCACCAACCAAGTGTTTGATCTAACATCATCTAGAATTCCAGGCTTCTTCCTTGGGATAGTAAGGAAGAGTGTGGGAGAGAAAGTTGGCCCAACCGGAGGGTATGGCATCAAAGCTGAGTGGATGCCCAATCTGGACGGAGTCAGTGGGGCAGGATCGGTGACAACAGGGGATGTATTTGATTTCAGGTCCATTGTGCCCAGTATCTTTTTATGGCAGAAAACAAGTTTTAAAACTATGCAAGCAGTTGGCAATGGTTTGAGTAACTCTGCTCTTAAATTGTTTCACACACTTCTAACCAACCCTTTTGTCAATGAAAAACCACTTCTTCAAAGTAACCTTATCACTGCAGCCAGGCGTACGGTCCATCAAGCAAAAGAGCCCTGGAAACTGACAATCACCAGACAATGAGTGAGTTACGGAAAGAATTCAATATCAAATTCATAATTAACAATCCAATGTAAATCTTACTTGCACATCTTCCCACTTCTTAGCCTCACTTTTCTAGTCAGTCAATAAACTGCAAAATATGGATCAGAAGCATATATGTTAAGAAGCTGTATGTCTCAATATCACAGAGATGTAATAAACAGATGAAAGGTTAAAGTGATGCAGCATCTAGAATGCAACAGAACGTCTAGAAAGTTTGTAACATCAAGCAATTTGCATAATAAGATTAAGCACAACCAGGAAAAGGGAAAAGGTCGCACCCAAAAAAGAAAAGCAAAGTAGACAAGACTTGAAAGAATTCTATTTTAAAGAATCTCAATCAATACCATACACATAAAGACAAATCAAGGCTTCTGTAGATTCCATATAGCATACAATTGGAACACTGCATGACTTGCTGTGAACCTATTAAAGGGCCTAGCTACTAACAAACAATTAATAACATTAATGAAACAGATACATTCTCGAATTACCTTTGAATGAATAAAACAACAGGTTATATGAGAGGTCTCATAAATAAATTAAACTACTGGTTCAAATACTAATATTTGGTAAGGAAATTTGACAATTGGCAGTAGGTAGCTGTTAACCTCCTCCCCATAGCCCACAAACTGAGAGGAAAAAACCAGTAGATGCAACCACATATTATGGTCCTACAGAGAAGCATGGGGAGGCATTAAATATGGACCCCTCCCATTAAATTCTAGTAATAGAACAAAACCATGACATTGAAGATAAACCAAGAATCATGCTAAATACATATTTCTCCAAAATTGTTGCTTTCATACACCAACTTGGTGACCACCACCAAGAAATAGAAATATTTGGACATAACGATTGCCTATCGAACCTTTTATTTTCAAGAACAATGTTTTATCTTCAAAGATGATAAAAATATATATCCATCAACAGTTGGATACAAAGATATAATGGTTATATCTGTGAGAAAAAGATCAACAAATGTATCGACTTAATATTATTACAGCAACAATTAATCAAGGTTTGAAAATGATATCTAAAAATGACATATATCACATCATACACAGCTCCATTACAAAAATAGTAGACTTACGGTAACAATATCTGAAGAGAAAAAAAAAACGGAAATAACTGAACTTATCAATCACTTGAAACAGCACCACAGATTTTACAATATAATATCTAACATTTCTATTCAAAACAAAAAAAATAAAAAATCATGATAAATACTTGCGCGAAACAACGAAAATATAAAAAATAACTTTTGCAAAAAACAGAGGACACAATACTCAAAAAAAAAATTAATTATCAAAACATAATATCTAATAACCGGATCAGGGATGAACAATTGAATGCACCTGATTTACAAGGGGAAACGTGTAAATGCAAGGACGCCTAAAATGTTGTCATATAAAAGCATTATTAACAGAGCCAACAAGCTCGAAGAACAAGACGATAGGAGATGACGTCAGCTTACCTCCGGCAACAACGAAACCCTAGAAGAAGAAGAAGAAAATCACGGAGAAGGAGAAACTGGAAATGTGGGTAAAAAAATAGAAAGAAAATTTTCGAGGGGAAAAAAGAGAAAGGAGAAAAGTTATGGGAGGAAGGGTTGTATATATAATGAGAGACGTGGTGGAGAAGGCAAAGAGAAGGGAAGTTCCCCCGTTTGTAGTTGAATTCCAACGAAATCAGAAAGCCCAAGTTTTGAAAGCGCGGTTTGACCACGCTTTTCATTTCCCCATGGCGTGCGTGACAGTTGAAAATACACCAACCACCAAAAATTTTAAATGCCAATTTACTTTTTCAACATCTTCCATACTTTAACTTGCTCCTCCCTCCTTTATTAATGTTTAAAAAAAAAAAAAAAACAGTGTCACTATTTGATACTCCATGCATTGATGTTAATGCAAGCATTATTAAAATATTTTATTTAATATTATTCTTTATATTCTATCAAACGATTTCTAAAATTTTAGTCAATTCAAACATATATTTGACTCAGGTAGTTCAGATATAAATGAAAAAGTTAAAAAGGATGTTAAATAGGTTTGTAGTTATTTTTTTATAACAGATGATTGTAATTTATTTTTTGTGATATATGAAATTTATGCTTCAAATTTAAATTTATGTGGAAGAGATTTGTATATTGAAATTCAAAAAATAAAATATTTTTTTGGCAAAACAAGTCTAGACATACGTTGGGTGAAACATAAAACGATTTGAATATGCACTTTGTATGCAAATTTTCAACTTCAATGTATGCAGTACATATGTCTAAATTGTTCCTAAATACAGATAAATTTGATGGAAAAATATAAATTATAAAATGGACTTTAAGTTAATTGGTGACCTCAAAAATGAATCTTTGTGCATTTCGCCCTTTATTAAGTGATGTTTGGATTTAGTTACCCCTATAAATTAATTCGAAACAAAAAATGCAGAATATTTTGGGGAATTTTTGTGTTTGGGTTATCAATAGAAAATAATCATGATGTTTTTATAAAGATACGATGAGATTCCTACAAAATAATTCAATCTCAAAAGTTCCTATGATAATCTGAGCTTTTTTTTGAGTTTTTTTATAATTTTAAGAACTTATTTAACATAAGTTAGAAAGAAATGGAAAATGATTCACTTAACACATTGTCTTTTACTAAAACACCAATCTTAATTGTTGTTATTAGTCACTATTAGCATGATTTTGACGATTTAATAATAAGTTTAAAATATAGGTTGAAATTGATGCATGGAACATCAAACTTTCCCCTCTTAGAAATAAGTTAGAAAGAAATGAAATTGCTTGCCCACTCAATTTAACAATAACTGAGGCTCCACCAACATTTTTCCTGCCATCACTTGAATTGACCAGTAAGGGGTCGTTTAATAGCGGATTAAAATTATGCACGTATTAATTATTTCTATAGGTATTAGTTGTATATGATTTAATTATTCATATTCAATTTTTTATTCTATTTAAATTAATAATATATAAATTTTCCATATATTAGAGTTTTAAAGTAGGAAAAATTGTATATAGTAGCAAACTATTAATTCAAATTAAATGTTATAAATATACTTTGATTTAATTGTACCATATAACAAACTATTGCTATTTTCACCACTCTCTCTGGTGGAATCTCGCTTGCCACTCTCGTTTGGTGACAGTCTCGCTCGCCCTCTCTCGCTTTTATACAAACACAAATGTATAAAATGTGTTTGTGTTTGTATAAAGCGAGAGGAAATTGTATATATACATATATTTTCGTTCCCCTCTCTCCCATCTCCCAGATCTCGCTCGCCACTCTCCCAAATCTCGCTCGCCACCATCGTCTCTCTCACTTATACAAACAGAAACTAAATGTATAAATTGCGCTTCTGTTTGTATAAAGTGAGAGAAAATTGTATATACACATGCAAATATATATATCTTCGTCTTATACACTTATAATTATACAATATAAGTATTTTCCTGCCTAGTTTTCTTTTGCCTTTCTCTCTTTCTCGTTTTATACATATACATATTATACAATTGATCTTTTGTATACAACTGTTTTCTTTTGTATATGTATAGCGAATTATATAACTGTTTTTTTTTGTATATGTATAGCGAATTATATATATATATATATATATATATATATATGTTTGCTATGTAGCACAATTATGTAAATTTTGTTATAACATACAAATATAAATTTTGTGTTTGCTATATATAAAAGTTGTTGTTTAAATTACAAGCTAAGCAGGGTCCCGAAAATGTTGAGAAGGAAAAAAAAGAGGCAATGACACGTGGAAAAGAGACTTTAATGTTGAAGAGGGTGAAGGACACCTGTGATTGTGTCAGGATGACGTGGCCACGTTAATTCTGGGTCCCAATGACTTAGTGTGGTCATTTTCATGCCAGCTGGGCGGTTAAAAAACTGGTGGCACAAAATGTTCAAATAGGAAGGACCCATTCTTTTTTACCCGACCCATCATGCCAAAATACTACTTACATACATTTGAGAATGTTTTTTTTGATAAAATTAGGACTACTTTTAAGTTTTAACATCTTACCTTCATTGTTTTCTAGCATACACTGGGTGGGAATGGGACCATAAAATTGAAATACAAAGGAAACTCTCACCAACATCATTAAAAGAGAGGATTATGTTAAAGAATAGTACACTATGATTCATGTTTAATTTTTTTTATTGAATTAGAGTTTAATTAATTAATATTTTTTTAAAATAGCTTTATGATATTGTATTATACTTTTACTATGAATTTATGCTTATTTGGTAAGATTTTATATGAAAATTGAGATTTTATTTTTAGTTTTCAAAACATATTGGGTGGGGGGTGGGGAAGTTATATTTATGAGCAAAATATACCGTTTCTAAATTGCATGCTAAAAAAATTTTCAATTTCATCTCACTTGGCCAAACGTCACCTAAATACTGGTCAATAATAAGAAAAAGTATATGGACCGACTAATAGAAAGTGGCATATAAATTAAAATAGAGAAAATAATATTTTTTATTAAATATTAAACACAAAAAATAAATAAATAAAAAACTCACTTATTTATAATAAAAAAATATTTTTCATACCAAATACATCCTACCTCGCTTTAAAAATCACTTTGATCAATAAAATATGACATGTCATTTTATTTAATTTACATAACTTTTCTTTTTCCAGTCCACATGGCTATAAACCACAATTTGGCCAGATCCGATCTTTTTATTTTCAGTCTTATAATCGTCTTGATAAAGCATAGTTTAATGAGGGATAATCATTTTTTTTATTTTTCATTCCATATGAATGTTCACATTGAAGTTCTCAAACTTCTAATTAAAAATAAAACAGTTGGCGACACAAACTTAATTACAGTTGTATAAAAAAATAAATTCAACTTGAATGTTAATACAAGTTGGATTAGTGGATAGTACTCACTTTTGTTTGTGCCTTGTGCTGATCTGATTACATGAATCTTTGATTGATTGCTGGTGCTATTTGTGGGTCCCATCCCAGCTGGCAATGACTCGTAAATAGAAACCTATAGGTCAAACAGAAGGATAATAAATAACGACAAAGCATTTCATCTCGGATTAAGTTATTTCAAAATTATTATTTTAAAATTATAATTTTTTAATTAATTTATTTAATAAAATAATATTAATTTGATAAGATAAAGTGAAATATATTAAAGTTAAGTTTGAAATCATATTTACACGTTGTTAGTTGAAAATATGAATTTATCATGAAATTAGTTATATCTTTAATCAAACAAAATATAAATTTAATCTTTAGATATCTCATGAAATAAAATTTCTGGAAATCGTTGGGTATGGGAGATAAGAATAATAATTAATTCAAAAAATAAAATTTAAAATTACTTTTATCTTATGCTTGATTTAAGAAATTAGCTACTCTTGAAATTATTTTATCTTACTACCTATACTAAAATAATAAAATTAACTATCGCATTATTCGCATATAAAAGATAAAAATAAAAAATCTAAATCCAAAAAATATTTTTGATTTATCGATGAGATAGGAAATAGATTAAAAAAAGAAAAGGGTTAAGAAGTGAGATTTTGTATGCAAGTACATGTAGGGTCTCACTAAAGATCCTTTCATGTTTGGTTATTTTCGGAACAGACGACGCATCTTTTTTTGGTCATTTTCCGCCGAAACAATTCTTTTAGCAATTCAATTAAAATTTATGAAAAAACATAACTCATTTTTTATTTTCTTGCAACTAATTCTTATATTTGTAAAATTACTTTTAAAATTATATTATTATTGTATATAATCTAAATTCATGTGTAAATCAAAAGGAGTGATAGATAGTAATACGATTGTGCCAATGCAACTTGCGTTGCAGCCAAAAGAAGCAGGTGGTGGTGGTGGGGGACTAATATTCTATTAATTAATAGATGACACCATGATTGGACGATGACGCGAATTACAGTTTAATTAATGGGTAGAAAAATTCGTTGTTATTCATTGGGTATTCATTGGATAAATTAGTTCACAATAAATAGATATAAACTGCATTAGATAAATCCTATGGGATCAACTGAGAAATAGACCAAATAGCACCCCTTTTTGGGACATCACACTAATCGTACCAAACTCAGCCGACTAAGAAAGATTAGGTGGAACTATATCCTTGATCCTGCCTTATAGAATATCCTTACATTCTAATTAACACTTGTTTAACTTAGATCCCTTTTTATAATTTCTCTCCTGAAAATTACATAAAAATGGGTACCATCATTGTTTAAATTGCATAATATTATCCCACCAATTGGAAGAAATCAAGTTTGAAACGACATGTATCACATGCAATGCTATTCATTTGACAAACGCTACAGAGAAAGAACTGTATTGGCTATATTTAAATGTAACAATTATATTCTAGAAGAAAGTTTTGACAAAATTTGGAATATGGATCTAAAATGCTTATGAAACTTGAACCGAAGATACTTTGGGTAAAAAGAAAATAAAATGTTGGAGAAAAGTCAGAGTCCAAATGTAGGTAATGCATGCGTGTCGCCTACTTGGATGCGTACAAAGCTGAGTCTACTCTGAGGCATCACAACTCACAAACCTTTCTTGTGTTTGAACAAATCCAATCTTTGATAGTAGAAATTAAAGAAACTTGAATACGTCAAATTAATATTCCACTAAACCAAAAAAAAAAACAAAAGAACACGTCTGGCTGAGTTATAGGTTCAATGAGGTAAAATTGTCAAATAGTCACTTTTCAGTTTATGTACTTGTGAAATAATTATTACCAGGGGTAGATCTATATACAAGTTTGTGGCTACCACGATATTTGAATGTTTCAATTGAAATTCTAAATATATATA